TAAAATATTAGTAAACTCTGTAGTAGCTCATGACTTGTGACACCCCGATTTCGGGCTGAGTTGGGATGGTTTTCTTTGTTCTATCACGTTTATTTCACATTTATGATTATATTACCCATGATTTAGACTTATTCCTGCTAAGTAATTATAAAGAGATGTACTGTTTTGTTGATTGGCTGGTCTTGTCCTCACAAGAGGCGCCATCACGACCGGGTTGGGATTTTGGGTCGTGACAAGATACACTTTATAAGTGTGGCCTTTGATTAGAGTCTTCGGCCACGATTTTTAAGGCCACCCTTAAAAAGCGTGCTCTTAAAATATAAAGACCACACTTTTTAAATGTTGCCAATACACAAATTATATTGCAACGCTTATTAATCATAATGCAACGTTTTTGAAGAGTTGTTATATTATATTAAACTAATTAATAATATTGTAACTCTTTATAAGCGTAGTCTAAAAATATTCTGTATAAATTTCGCTCCAAATATTACAATTAATGAAAATATTTCCCTCCAAAATACAAGAAAATGAAATAATCGTCCAAATAATACTACTGGGAAAACTTTCCCCATTCTTCTCTCTCTGCTTCACCTTCACTGTGTCCTTTAACCTAATTTATTCCTATACATTCATTGTTGTACCTTCTTCCAGATAACTCTCACCCATAGCAAATCTCCATCTCTTTCTCTATTGGTAAGTATTTCTTTTGCTCAAAACTTTTTTGTTTTTTCCAATTTTAGTTTTGTTCTTATACTTTAAGATTCAATTTTTCTAGTTTCTTACTAATGGAGATGAAAAAATAATCTTCTATTGTGTACAATATTTTGGTATCATGGTACAATCTTTGTTTTATACTTAAAGTTTTGAACTTTTTCTAATTTCAGTTTCTTGAGCTAAAAAGAAGTAATTTTATTTTGTTTAATTTTTGGGTATCAAAGTTTTTAATTTTTTACTAATTTCAGATTCTTGGGCTGAATAAAAGTAATATTTTTTGTTTAATTTTTGATATTTTTGTATAGTCTTCAATCTCATATTTAAAGCTTTAGTTTGTCTAGCTTCTTATCAATGGGGTTGATAAAAGTAATATATTTTTGAATAATTATAGAGTTTTATATAGTCTTTATTTTATACTTAAAGTTTTACTCTTTTTCAATTTCGGATTATTGGGCTTACATAAGTGATTTTTTGTTTAATTTTTGGCTATAAAAGTTTTCAATTTTATCTTACTTTCATATTCTTGAGTTGAAAATAAGTATTATCATTTGTGCTGCAGGTTGGTTTCTTTTGCTTTCAAAATTTCCTTTATCGTTTGGGAGTAGTTATCAAAACCCTCTTCCCCAAAGGCTATATTATTGTTTAGGCACAATTGTTCCAATTGTTATCAAAACCCTCTTCCTCATAGCTGCAGGTTGGTTTCTTTTGCTCTCAAAATTTCCTTCTTCCTACTGTGGAAAGCAGTCACTCTTTGGGAGTTATACTGGTTATTGAGTCTTGATTTTCTATTTTTATTAGTTGTCTTCTATATTAACTTCATCACTAGTCAAATCTTATCTTATTTTTTGTGGTGTGTTAATAATTGAAGTGTAGGTTAATTTCACCACATAAAAATTGTCAAATTATGTTGAATTCTCACAATATTGAACGTAATGTGTGTGTTGACTGAACACACACCCAAATTGCCTTGTAGATGTTGATTAACAATCTTTGTTTCATCAATCCACCCGATTCTTGTGTTTTTGAAACAATGCCAAAAGGTAACTCCTGCAATTGAACAATTCTGTTGAGTTGATAACCTGGAATTTTCTGCCCGTGTGCAAGTGACTTTGAACGAGCTGATAGTGCCAATTTGTTGAGTTTTGGGGTCTCCAGAGCATCAATAAGTTGTCTATTATGATCTGAAATTCGAGGCTACTTAGTTGATATTATAATAGCAGAATGTTTGGCGTTATGAATCTGCACATTTGCAGCGCCACCTGAGGTAGTTTTGGGAACAAAAGCTGGCGCATTGGAGTTGAGTTTGCTTTTAACACTTGAGCTTGGTGATATTCTGGTTTTTTGGTACATTTGGTGAACCAGCTGAATGCAGTGATTCCTCATTACATTCTTCATCTTCAGTAGCGTTGAAATCAGTGAAATCGACATCTTCATCTTCTTCAACTTGGTCAACCCAAGTTTTAAGTCTTGGCAAAAGTCTATCTATAATTTGATTCTCTTGTCGACTTGTAAATTGTCTTGTTCTATGTATGAACAGTATATATTTGAATGCATGCACACACATATACTAGCACGATCAAAACTGAAGTCAGATCGCCTAAATGGATCAGTGAGGAGTATAATAATCAGCTGCACAAATAAAATCTCATGGAAGGCTTCTCATTAAATAATTAATAGTTGAATGGCAATCTTATCAGAGTCTCCTTTTATTTTTAAGATCTCTGTCCCAGAAATGAATGACGTACTTTTGACATGTTAACTTATATCTGCTCTCAGTATGTTTTAGTTTTATCTGTGAACTCTAGTATTTAACAAGTTTTCAATATTAAAATTTTCATTAATGCAGATATGTTGCTTCACAGTTGGCTTCTGACATCGTTGTTAATATAGTGAACCAAATCACTAAGTCCGTTGTTAGGAACATATTGCTCATTGATTTTATTTGGACTTTTGATGTGTTGAGGATTTATTTTGCAACAATTTATGCAGCTTGATTCGATGGTTGTCAAAGTTCTTAAATATGTCTAATTTCTTAAATATTTACTTTCTCGCATATTGTTATATATTCTTACTAGTTGTTAGGCTAAAGTAATTTAATTTTTTTGTATGTAGGATGAATCAAGCGGCAGCTCTTAAGAGAAAAGTTCTGAATCCAAACAAAGCTCAATGTCCAATGAAGAATATAGGCTTTGATTTCCAATACCGATCAAGTGCCGAACTAGCCAAAAAATATCAAATTAAGAGAGAAAAGCTTGCAAGTGATCGCAACGATAAAGCTGCTAAAGAGCAGGCATTACTTGGAGTTAAAAGGAAGAATTGTATGCCTGCAACATTAGAAGGACAAAGTAGACAGAGGTTAAGTCAATTCGATGTGTCAGTTCAAAAGTTAGGAAGGAATATATTACCGGTGTACAAATCAATCCAATCGTCTTCAAGGGAAGATCTGATCACTTCACATAATATTGCAAGTAAAGGACAAATTAAACAAAGGTCAATTCAATTGGAGGATCTCATTCAAAAGCAAGGAATGAGCAAATTACATGTGCCCATATCCATGATCCAATCATCTGCAAAGGTAGATCCTAACACATTACATATGATTAGAAGAACACAAGGTGATGGAGAGAAACAACTTGATATTCAGGAGCTACAAAATTACAAAAAGTTAAAGACAAACTCAGTCTTACCGATGACGAGTGTTAATCAATTTCTAAAAAAATATGGGATACAAGTTGGTGGTGAAAAACATCCTGATAATCACCCAGAAAATGAAATGAGATTTATGTCCTCTCCTATTATTGATGAGCGTGAAATAGAATTGGATAATTTTGCTGCACAAGATGAAGTTAGTGATGATGAATTTATTGGAGATGAGGATATGAACATCGATAAAGCTGCAGGTGGTATGTCTTAAACCTTATAATTATTTTACATATTTTGATTTTTTTTCTTCTTATGTCATGCTTGTTATATCAATCTAGGAACATCAGAGAAGAAAAGAGTTCGAGGGCAAACAACATGTAAGAATATTCATGCAAGAAGTTTTGAAGAAAGAGAGGAGGTGGCATTTGATAAAGGGCAAGTAGTTGGACCAACTGACAAGAGAATATTTAATTTGACCAACTTTTTAGGAACAATTTCAAGGAATCCAAAATTTATCCTCTTGGTGCATACCAGTTGGCATGCTGTGTCAAAGGATATTAAGCAACGAATGTGGGAATATGTCAATGTAAGAATAATTAATTTTTCAATTATATATTTTTTGTATTTTTCCTACTAAGAAAAGATATATATATATATATATATATGTGTGTGTGTGTGTGTGTGTGTGTGTGTGTGTGTGTGTGTGTGTGTGTGTGTGTGTTTGTATTGTTTTGCACAGTCCAAGTTCTTAATTCCAGCTGAAGGAGAGAATTGGGTAATGACTGTCTTCGTGATGCTTGGAAGCGACACAAGAGAAATATAAAGAAGAAATATTTTGATAAAAATGCTACTATTGAAGAAATGCTACAAAATCGTTCCAATGAGATACCTGAAGTTCAATTCCGTCAATTGATTGAGTATTGGGATGATGAAGATGTCCAAGTAAGATTAAACCGTGCATTTCTATATTTTATACCTATTGGCAATATATATTTTTTCCATTTTGATTTATTAATTAATATGCTTCTTTTGTTGTTAGGCTATGTGCCAATTATATTTTGAAAACAGGAAAAAACAAAAGTGGAGGCATCGGATGAGACCTATTAATTTTGCAAGAGTGCATGTGGCATTGGTAATATTTAGTCGACACTTTGTAATCTGACTTTCATTTCTTTTTGTACTTTGTCGGAACACAGTGATGTTTTTTATATCTTCTTTGATGTAATTCGTAGCGCGCAACCAAAGAGAAAAACGAGGAACCATCAAAGTCTGAAATGTTTATTACAACTCGTACAAAGAAAGGGAAGGAAGTTCATACGGATACTCAAGTTGCAATAGTAAGTCATGCTGCAAGTTAAGTCTTTTTATTGTATTTTCTCTCTTTAACTGAATGCATTTCTGTAACTGAAGATAGTTCATACGCATATAGTTTGTTTTGGAAAATATCGACCTTTAGCTTATTGTTCATGAATAGAGTAACCACCAAATTCTTCTTTGAGTCATTTCGTCGAGCTCCTAATTCGTACGAAAAAACTCATACTGAATTATAGCAAATGTTGAAATGAGATCCTCGTGCTTTTTCCCATTTATCCTTGAATTTTGCAAGTCTATGCCATGATGCTCTGTAATGGCATGCAGATGTGGAGGCTCATTCTAGTGAACCCATTTGAATGTCCCTCTTCGTACGTGTGTAGAAGTGTGCATTTGGTTGTAAAAGCCCACAAAAATGTAGTATGAATCATTTCCCGCTTAGTGCTTATCGGATGTAGCCTTACTCTTCCTTCTTTTGTTTTTCCCCCCTGATTAGATGTCTGCTGGAGTGTTGAGGCAAGCATATGAGTTATATCTCATGTTATTTATTTTAATAGTAGAAGCTTTAGGCTGAATGATGGTCAGGGCAGCCATAAGAATCTTGCTCTTGGTATTTTGTAATGCAAAGACAGAACAACTCAAGAACTTAAAGAATATATTTCTGAAGATAAATTTGAAGCATGAAATAATCGTAGCAGGTGGGCGGATGAATTTAATAGTTTGCAGAAACATTTTCATGTAGAATTGGGTCCATCATACAACTTACTTGGGCAATACATAGAGATGGAATGAGACTTTGATCAAGAGTACCTTATCAAGCATCCCAACATATACATGTCTCTTCTACCCACTACTAGGACGAGCCAATATTTGTTGCTGCATCTTACCATATTTTACTGTTGGTGAATTAATTCCAATACCCTTTTCACCTAAATACCTAATAGTGTGGCCTGCATTTAACATGTGCAAGTTGGAGTCCATTGGAAGGTCAACTTCGCACAACAGCCTTTAGAATTCTGACTTCTGACCAAAGACCATATCAGATCTTTGTCAATATATAAATAACTAGTACCAGTAATAACCAAATTATAAAATATTATGTTTAACTAGTGTTTTGGTAGTGATGGACTCAAAATTTAAATAACTAGTACAATTATTTATAAGTGAAAAATTTTGAATTTTTTACATAGCCTAGTATTAATTTGTTATATTTCAATTTTTAAGTGATTCTTACGGGGAGCCTAAAGCCAAAATTAATATGAGGACTAAATTTTTAAGTTATAAGATATATTTTTATTTGAAATCTACTTTTCTAACTTTTTGAGATATAAAGTTTTTAATAATCTTTGTTATAATATTTTTTTGACAGTCTGAACTTCAGAATCGTCAAAGTTCTGGAGAAACTGCAGATGATGCATTTAGGGCTATATTTGAAAAGGAGAAACCTGGTCGGGTTAGATGCTATGGTAGATCGGTGACGACAAGCTCTCTAAAAAAAGATGAAGAAATCACCAAACTTAAACAACAGCATGCCAACAAAATAACTTCTCTAAAGGAAGAAATGAAGGAAATGATGAGAGAAGAAATGCGATGTTTTTTTAGTCAAATGGTGAAAAACAACTCTGGATTGGATTTTCATGATATACAAGGGTGTGTTGGATCTAATATTCCTTCACCGGTTGATGCAAGTAGTGCACGAGCTATGAGAGGCCATAATCTACCACAGTCTTCTGGCTCAACTCATGCCCCGAGTTTTGAAAAGGTATTTATATTTTATCAAATAGTATAATGGTAGGGTAAATATTTGATCATATATATATATATACATAAATGTATCTGACTTGTAATCCTGTTGTATAATGCATATGAGAGTTTTCTTTCCTTCTCGTCTTCGTTCTGTGTTAATGACATCTGGTAACATTTGCTTTCTATAGGTTTTCTGGAAACATTGATCTAAATACTTTGCTACATTAGGAAATTAAACTTGATCGATAAGGCGTAGATGTATATTTTTCTTTTAGTTCCCTGTTTCTGTCAAGGATATTCTAAAAGTATATTGCATAAACAAGGTGTAAGGTAATTGTGCTGCGATGTGTAAGCCTACCTCATGGAAGAGGGGAAGGAATTACAGGAAAAGGAGAATGCCTTTGATCTCACTTGTTATTTACTGATTTATTTTCTTGTACACTATAAGTTTCCCTCTGCTTCCTTCACCTTCTTTAGCGGAGGGTCTATCGGAAACAGTCTCCGTGCCCCTCCAGGGTAAGGTAGGTAGCGTACATAATACCCTCCCCAGACCCCACTTGTGGAATTATACTGGGTGGTTGTTGTTGATTGTTGCGATTATAGAAGGAGATAGGTAAAATGTATGTTAATTCACATTTTTTCTTCTCTTTAACTTGTATATCTTTTTTGTGTTTGACATTATTATGCTATAGTAATGAAATAAAATCTCATTAGTTCTTAGTAAGATATAACCAGTGCATACTATATATTTGTTTTTTCTAATTTTTAATTTCATTTTGAATGTGTAGGAAAATACCGGTGATGCAATTGGAAATGGTGGGCACAAATCAATTTGATTCATTAAAGTGAATGGTGAAGGCCTTTTGAACAATTATGATGTTTGTTTTTTTATTGATACTATAAATATGAATACATTTGGTTTTGTCGAGGTCTTTGCTAGTGAACTTCTTAAACCAACAATGCTTTATTACTATAGATAGTACGCAAAGTATGTTTCTTTGTTGAAGTTTATTTCAAGTATATACATTTGAATTATTTTTATTCTATTACTTATTATCTAATTTAATGCTTGAGATCATAATACATACATATATATATATATATATATATGAACAAAATTTAATATAAAAAAATATAATTTTTTAACCACAAAATTGTGGCTAATATAAATATTTTAAAAAATTCTTTGTAGTATAGACAAAATTGCCATGCTTAGAAAGTGTGGCCATAGGGATTGTCAATCTGGTGTTGTTAATGATAAATGTTGCTCTAGAAGCCACACTTTAAAAGTGTAGTCTATAACGTGACAAAGATCACGCTTAGAAAGTGTAGCCTTATGTCATAAAAGTGTGGCTATAAGAGAAAATATAAGTGTGGCCTTTGTACCTTATCGGCCACACTTTTAAAGTGTGGCTTCAAAGGCAACACCTACAAAGCGTGACCAATAGTCAAAGGTTACGGTACTTTAGGCCACCCCCCAAAAAGCGTTGCCTAAAGCCATAAAGTGTTGCCTTTGACCAAATGCTACACTTCTTGGCATCTTAGGCCACACTTCTCAGGGGTGGTTGTAGGCCTAAAATGTTGTAGTGTCAAAATCTCATCCAAATCCGAGATCCCAAACCAAGTTTTGATAAAAATGGTCAAACCCTCATTTTTGAAATCTTATATTTTGCCCAGGTACGCTCTTCTTCGCGAAAACGATGAACAATCATTTACTGATCCAAAGTTCCTCCTTCGCGAAAACGTAACTTCCACTGGCTGACCCTACGCGAACGCGGGACCCTCTACGCGAATGCGTAGACTTAAATGCCTAAAGCTTCATCTGTCCATTTCCTCTACGTGAACGCGAGGTCCATATCGCGAACGTGTAGCCTCAAGGTTCAACATCTTCGTGAACGCGGTAACCACATCACAAACGCGAAGAACAACTCAGCTATACTCCCCAGATGCCTTACGTGAACGCGAGACCTCTCTCGCGAATGCAATGAAGAAAAGGTCTACAATAAAACACACAAAAAATTGCCATCTCCCAAAGTCCAAAAATGATCCGTTAAGCATCTGAAACTCACCCGAGGCCCCCAGGACCTCAACTAGACATATCAACCAATCCTAAAATACTATACAAACTTAGTCGAGCCCTCAAATCACATCAAACAACGCTAAAATCACGAATCACCCTCAAATTCAAACTTAAAGAACTTGAAACTTCAAATTTCTACAACTGATACCGAAACCTATCAAACCACGTCTGAATGACCTCAAATTTTGCACACAAGTCATATTCAATATTACGGACCTACTCCAACTTCCGGAATCGAAATCCGACCCTGATATCAAAAAGTTCACTACCGGTCAAAATCTTCAAAAAAATCGACTTTCGCCATTTCAAGCCTAAATCAGCTGCAGACCTCCAAAACACAATCCGGACACACCCTAAGCCTAAAATCACCCAACGGAGCTAACAGAATCGAGAAAATTCCATTCTGGAGTTATCTTCACACAGTTTCAACTACGGTCCAAATCCTAAGACTTATGTCTCCATTTAGGAACTAAGTATCCGAAAACACTCCAAAAACCAAAACGAAACCTCCCGGCAAGTCATATATGCAGAAAACGATATGGGGGAAGCAGAAATTAGGGTATTGGGGTTATAACTCTCAAAACAATCGGTTAGGTCGTTGCATCTTTCCCCTCTTAAAATAATCGTTCGTCCTCGAATAAGCATAGAGACATACCTGAAGTGGCGAAAAGATGAGGATAATGGCTGCGCATATCCTTCTCGGTCTCCCAAGTTGCCTCCTCAACCGGCTGACCCCTCTATTTAACCTTCATCGAAGCAATGCTCTTTGACCTCAGCTTTCGAACCAGCCTGTCCAAAATAGCCATTGGCTCCTCACTATAAGATAGATCCTTGTCCAACTGGGCTGAGCTGAAATGTAACACGTGAGACGGATCACCGTGATACTTCCGGAGCACAGAAACATGGAATTCCGAATGAACTCCTACTAGACTGGGAGGTAAGGCAAGCTCATAAGCAACCTCCCCAACTCGCCACAACACCTCAAATGGACCAATGAACCTTGAGCTCAGCTTGCCCTTCTTCCCGAACCTCATAACGCCTTTCATTGGCGAAACCCGAAGCAAGGCCCGCTCTCCAACCATGAATTCAACGTTGCGAACATTTCGATCTGCATAACTTTTCTGTCTGGATTGGGCTGTATAAAGTCTATCCTGAATCACCTTAACCTTCTCCAAAGCATCCTGAACCAAGTCTGTGCCCAATAATAAAGCCTTCGCCTGGCTCGAACCAACCCACTGGGGAGCGACACCACCTACCATATAGAGCCTCATGCGATGCCATCTGAATGCTGGACTTATAACTATTGTTGTAGGCAAACTCCGCAAGTGGCAAGAACTGATCCTAAGAACCTCCAAACTCCATCACACACGCACATAGCATATCCTCTAGAATCTGAATAGTACACTCAGACTGTCCCTCTATCTGAGGGTGAAATGTTGTGCTCAACTCCACCCGAGTACCTAACTCTTGTTGTACGGCCCTCCAGAATCGTGATGTAAATTGCGTACCCCGGTCTGAGATGATAGATATCGGCACGCCATGAAGCCTAACAATCTCACAGATATAAACACGAGCCAAATGCTCGAAAGAATAGGTAATCATCACAGGAAGGAAATGAGCTGACTTGGCCAGTCTATCCACAATCACCCAAACTGTATCAAACTTCCACTGAGTCCGTGGGAGTCCAACAACAAAATCCATAGTGATCCGCTCCTATTTTCACTCCAGAATCTCTAACTTCTAAAGTAATCCACCCGGCTGCTGATGCCCATACTTCACTTGCTGGCAATTTAGACACCGACTACATATTCCACTGTCCTTATTCATTCTATGCCACCAATAATGATGCCTCAAGTCTTGATACATATTCGTGGCACCCGGATGAATGGAGTACCGTGAGTTGTGAGCCTCCTAAAGAATCAACTCACGCAATCTGTCTACATTGGGCACATATAGCCTGCCCTGCATCCTCAATGCACCATCATTCCTAATAGTGACTTCCTTAGCATCACCGTGTTGAACCGTGTCCTCAAGGACAAGCAGATGAGGGTTATCATACTGACGCTCCCTGATACGATCATAAAGAGAAGACTGGGAGACCACACAAGCCAAAACTCAACTCGGCTCAAAAATATCCAATCTAACAAACTAGTTGGCTAAGGCCTGAAGATCTAGTTCCAATGGCCTCTCTGCTGCTGGCAAATATGCTAAGCTCCCCAAACTCCCGGCCCTGCTACTCAAAGCATCAGCCACCACATTGGCCTTCCCGGAATGATATAAACTAGTGATAGCATAATCCTTAAGCAGCTCTAACCACCTCCGCTGATGCAAGTTAAGATCCTTCTGCTTGAACAGATGCTGCAAACTCCGGTGATCAGTGTAGATCTCACAAGGGACACCATACAAAGAGTTCCTCCAAATTTTCATGGCATGAATAATAGCTGCTAACTCAAGGTCGTGGATAGGATAATTCTTTTATGCACCTTCAGTTTTCTAGACGCGTAGACAATCACCCTACTGTCCTGCATCAACAATGTGCCGAGGCCAACTCGCAATGCATCACAATAAACAGTATAAGACCCTGAACCTATAGGCAATACTAATACTGGGGCTATAGTCAAAGTTGTCTTGAGCTTTTGAAAGCTCTGCTCACACTCCTCTATCCACCTTAACGGAGCACCATTCTAGGTCAGCCTGGTCATAGGTGCTATAATAGAAGAGAATCCCCCAACAAATCGACGGTAATACCCCGCCGAACCAAGGAAGCTCCGAATCTCTGTAGTTGAGGATGGTCTGGGCCAACTCTTCACTGCTTCCACCTTATTCGGATCCACCTTGATCCCTTCACTCGACACCACGCGACCCAAAAATGCCACATAATCTAACCAGAACTACATTTTGAGAACTTTGCATATAATTTCTTCTTTTTCAAGGTTTGAAGTATAGTCCTCAGGTGCTGCTCATGATCCTCCTGGCTCCGGGAGTACACCAAAATGTCATCAATAAAGTCAATAATGAATGAGTCAAGATAAGGTCGAAACACATTGTGTATCAAATTTATAAATGTTGTTGTGGCGTTGGTCAGCCCAAATGACATCACCAGGAACTCGTAATGACTATATCGAGTCCGAAAAGCAGTCTTTGGGATATATGGCTCCCGAATCTTCAACTGATGATAACCTGAACGCAAGTCAATCTTGGAAAACACTCTGTCACCCTGTAATTGATCGAAAAGGTTTATACGAGGCAAAGGATACCTATTCTTCACTGTGACCTTGTTCATTTGGTGATAATCAATGCACGTATGCATAGAACCATCCTTTTTCTTCACAAACAAGACAGGAGCACCTCAAGGTGACACACTGGGCTAAATGAAGCCCTTATCAAGTAATTCCTATAATTGTTCCTTCAACTCCTTCAACTCGGGAGGGGCCATACGATATGGAGGAATAGAGATGGGCTGAGTCCCCAGCAACAAATCAATGCCAAAATCAATCTCTCTGTCGGGCGGCGTGCCCGAAAGATCAGCTGGAAACACATCTACAACGTCCCTCACTACTGGAACTGACTCAATTGTAGGGGTAGCAATACTGACATCTCTCACATAAGCTAGATACATGTCACACCCCTTCTTAACCATTTGTTGAGCTTTAAGAAATGAAATACTCTGGTGGGAGTTTAATCTATGGTATGCCTCCACTCTAATCGCGGTAAACCTAGCACAGTCAGCGTCACAGTCTTGGCATGAAAATCAAGAATAGCATAATTGGCCAACAACCAGTTCATGCCTATGATAACATCAAAGTCTACCATGTTGAGCAATAATA